TAGAGAGTGAGACAGAACAGGAGCAAGAGGGATGAGCAACTTATTGTCATCACAAGCAAGGCTGCTTGCTCAGCATTCTTCAGTGAAGGGAAGTCGACATCATAGAGCTGTGAGAGCATATGATCGATTACTGCAGCAGGAACATGACTTGCCTTACTGCGACGATAAATACATTCAAAGATGTCTCGTACAGATACTGGATGCTCTCACAAACCACACTGTAACATGCTTCTTTTTACACATTAGCTTTACATATGTGACATTTACAAAAAAGGGCTAAATTACAATTATTACTGGAATATATTAGCAAAAGGAACACAGTCATCTCAATTTGGTAAGTATTTGGTAATTTTATCTGAAGCATATGTGCCAACTTTGAGGCCTTTATGTTGAGCTACAGTCTGAAGTCTTGAGCTCCATCAGCCCACTCAAGACGACAGCTGGGCTGTAGCATAAAAACAACATTGTGCTGCAATAGGCAACCCTTTGTATTTTATTACTTACTGTGCTGTACACACAGTACAGAATGAATGGCATCACATCAAATAATCAGATTTAGTGTAGAGATTAAATGAATAGTTAACACAAAAGATAAAATGCTGTCATCATCTGCTCGCCCTCGTGTCAGTCAAAACACTGCAGCGTTGTTTCAGCCTTCTCTAAAACAACATTTAAAGCCTGTCTCCACCTTTAAAGTTTAAGAAAGGGCAGAATTTGACCATAAACTTTACATTTGTAGAACTGTAGAGTGTCAAAGTCAAAGTGTCAAAGTCTGACATGTACATCATTCAATCCTGCTTTTTCCACAAGTCAAAATGTATATGATGCATAAGGTGCCAAGCTGACATTCTCATAGCAAATGTCTCACAAATGTGAACATTTAGCTTTTATATGGCTACTAATGTCCATTGAACTTAAAATAGTAGACTTGCACTCTAGCAAATGAATCACAAAATCACATACTTCTTTCTGTCTTATTTATTAGGAGCAAGAGTACAAACACTTCATTGCATTGCAATTGCCATAAGCACTTTCACTAATGAATGCTAAAGCAAGCGAGTGTATGTTTCCATTTGCTGGACTATGGGTCTGTTACTTGTTACACTTATACAGTAAGTACAGTATAATCACCGGGTTTCAGAATGCCCTTAAGAACCAGTTCTTGGCTGCTTCTTTTGTATCGGATAAGACTGAAAGGAACTTGCACAAGCGACACAGACACAGATGTAATCTGTATTGTAACTGGTTTAAAGGTGAGTAGTAAGGACTTACTACTAGGTTGTAACCTGTTTACTTTTCTCAGCTGTTTTTTACTGATCAGACCCTTGACAATAATAATCTAAATAACTGTTCTATCTATCTAATCCAATAATCTATTCACAGTCGCACTGTGGTGTTTGGTTGTAATTTTACTTTTGGGTCCACATCTGTACCTATTGTTTTCGAGCTGTGGCTCTAGTGGAAGTTGAAACTCGTTATTATGAGAGAAACATTTTTAAAAAATGGTTAATTTACAAATACTTCAACAGGGAAATTTGTCCTATTTGTAGTGTGCACCGTAAACAGTGTCTCTAAAACTAAAATGTATATTTCTGCTGTAGCGCAGCCCTCATGCATAATGATCACAGAGGAAACATAAAATAACTACGTCCCCCTCTCCAAAAAAGAAAGAAAAGACACAAACGAGTGTGAGTTCTCACCAGCAGCTCCACTCCAAACCAGATTCCAGAGAGGGCTCTGTCGGGGAGCAGCGAGCCCTTGAAGCGGACCACACCAGGAAGAGGTTCATCCCCTGAGCGCAGCTGGACACGCACCTTCGACCCACAGTCAATATCACGGACGCGCTCTAGCCGTGACTTGTTGCAGAGCAGGGCATATCGCTCCTCACAGTTGGTAATGGGGAACAGCAGCTCAGCCAGCTTCTCATCCAGCTCCAGGACATCCCGCTCGTCCAGGCTCAGCACCACGTTGGTCTGGTCCAGGATGCGGAGACTTTTCTTGCCTTTGCATGGGGGCAGTGTTCGCCCCAGGCTGTTGCGCTCCTGGCAGGCCTGACCGAGACTTCCACGGGGGATCCTCAGGGTCTTCTGGGGAGGCTTCTCCACCGTACACTCCTTTATGACCATGTAGAAGCGCCAGTCCTCCCTGAAGCCCCCACTGGGCTTCTCCTGGCTCCACAGGGATGAGCTCATGGCTGCATGCTAGGCAGGAGGTCCAACATCAAGGCAAGCTTGACCTCTGGTCTGCAGGGACAAGTAAATGATTACCTTTATGACTTTTATTCAAGGAAAACAAAGACATATACAATTGAAATTGTAGGGAACGCTTGTTCGATATATTTATTTAATAATTAAAACACAATATAAATAAAAGTAAAGTGAAAAACTGTAAAGTTCATTTTCAGAAGTATGAATTGTATGTTTTCAGTTAGTGGGCAGGCAAGACAACAGTAGATGCTTACGAAGCAGCACACATGAAAACCAAGTGTTTCCATACTGAAATAGGTTAAACAGAAGTAAAAGTGCAACCATGGATAAAATAAGGCACCAGGCAAGTTATATATACAGGATTACTGTAGCTCTGAATGCAATTCTGTATAGAAACTATACTATAGAAACTTTTTTTCAGTAATGCTGTATATCTCAATCCTAAGCACAGACTGAAACCTAATAACAAGGACGATGTGTGTTTAAAAGCAGACTTCAGCATAAGCAAGTGAAAATAGTTTTATTAATGGATTGTAAATGGATTATTGATGAGCCTCACTGAAATGAGAAACTACCAAACACTGGGTAAATCAGTCTTCCTGGCATTAAGGCGAAGGGAAATAATAAATAATTATCACTAGTGACCCCCTGGTGAAGATGCACAATAATAGATTCAATTCTGCAAGGTAACTTTAGGTGTTAATTTGCTGATTAACGTTCTTCAATTGACAGATCACTGACCCAGCTTGCTTTATGTGGTTTGTTGTGAGACATCTAATAGCTCATGAAGGTCTCAGCTGTGTATTCTCCCTCTCTACTGCCCAGTCATCCCGGTGCAGTAAGCACCTCGTGTGACATTACTCACATCTACTGAATAGTATTTGAATATTCTAAAAATAGGATGTGAGCAGACAGATGACTTACTCTGACAACCAGGGCAAGACTCAGATACCAGACAATTGGATTTCCCCTAATGACAGCACAGATGTGCTGATCAGCCAGGCGACACATTGAGGAGCACATTCACACCACATCCGTCGTGTGTTTCAAGCATGATACATACAATATTAACTTGGTTATTATATTGTTGTTGTTCCCAATAAATGGTGTATTGTCAGCGTAACAACATAGCATTAAGACAATATCGTTATGGCTAACGCTGTACACGGCTAAGAAAAACCACAGCTAGAAAATGTAAAGTAATTGTGACCTGACACAGGCTAGCGTTGATCGGATCTGACGTGTATTTTGCGTGTTCTTTGAGGTGACAACCACAAAGTTGATTACGGATTTGTTTATTCTAGTGCCGGTGTCACTGATAGCAACATCATGACTCGTTTTCGTGAATCTTTTCCCTGACAACCAGAGCAGCAGTGTGTCATCACCAGGCAAAGACTGTCAGTCAAAGGCCCTTTAAGAGAGGGAAGTAGCTAACGTACCGTCAGCTCAAACACACCGAATACTGATTTACGTTCACTGCTAACGACATAGACACCTTACCTTTGATACGCGTCACTTCAGTTAGAGGCTACAGGTGACTGTCATTTGAAATGTCCATTTCAATGTGATACAGGCCTCTGAAAACAAGCGAGATTGCTACCGTAATAACCGCTGATTAGCTAACGTTAAATGGCTAACAAGCTAAGTATCACGCTAAAGTTAGCATAGCGAGCTGCTCGACAGCAAGCAGGCCGGCAGAGGACTGCCACCCTCTACCGTATGCTATCAACATTTAGATAAACCTGCTCTCCATGGGATTATGGGAAATAATACAGTGTATCGCTACAGCTATTAGATATATTATTTACAGGAGACGACCTCACGAAACTTAATGTATGACATCATTGCACTCCCTGACAGGCATTGGTTATTCGCTTCGTTCCCGAGCGCTGATTGGCTGCTCATTGTGTTTGTAACCAAGTCCCGCCCTGTGGGGTTTTCCCATGAATGGCAGAACACATAGTTAGGTTGAAGTGTGGCTTGCAGTGCAAAGGATGCTGTCTCTCATCAACCACAGGCTGGTTGAAGGTATACTACTATATTACTGTATCATATTTATTTAAGTAAGATAAGCTATACAAAATTATAATAAAACATACTCTATAACAGGTAAGCAATCAAATCTTTACTTATCTAAAGCTAAATAATTATCAGCAATGTATTTATGCTATATAATGTATTATATATTATTCGATTGTTATTAATGATGCATTCATTTGTATGACACATTAATGCTGCAGCTGGTTGAAGTAGAGCTATGATTGACAGCTTTATATACTGTTGGGAGGTTTAATGTATATGTGTCATATTTTCTAAAATGATCATGTGTTATGGGTTTTAATTAAAAAACCTAGCTGTCAGATAGTAGCCTACCTCCAAACGGCACTTTAGTAACTTGCTTCCACTACTGACTACAAACCCTGAAAAGTGTAATTTTGATCTTCTAAGAAGAAAACTGAGATGCACACATTTTACAATTCACATTTCACATTTTAATATAAAAATACAAAATCAGAAGACCAGTCTTGATTCACGTTGTGCCATCTCCTCTACTTCCTCCAAACTGAGGTAATTGTTTCTCAACCTGCAGACAAGACAAAATCAATCAAGGACAATGTACAGCCAGTTTGGAAATAGAAACAAAGTTTTAAGCCAAAATAGCATTATTGTTTGACCAAAATAAGATAAGGTGTCAACAACTACAGTTTTCCTTGGCACTATCAGTACGGCCATGCAAATTCAGGACACAAACAACCACCAATTGTATGTGCCAACCACATAAGAACTTTTTTATTTGTGGGTGTATGTCTCAGTGTTCATCACATACCATATTGATTTCACATGGGTGTTGTGCTCTAGAGCTTGAATCAGACATTCCACCCCTGTTCTGGTTACGCAGTTCTCTGTCAACCTTTTACAGGAAATAAGAGGGTGGAGTAGTTCAAACAGTGCACAGTGAGTACACAAATGTTAAATCAGCTATTAAAATGTCATGTGGATTGTCAATACAAGTATAACTTGTCTCCAGCACTTACCAAAGCTCTTCCAGTGATGTACTGTTCTTTATAATGTTGGCAAGGGCACACGCTCCTGCACTGCCTACACCATTGCCTACCAGGCTGCCATCACAAAACATATTGTACAACTGATATATAAATACAATTGTGGTGATTATGCAACCTCACACATAAGTGGAATTTCATATTTGTAATACATTTTCCACTCTTTCTTCCTATCATGTGCCAGTATTTAAAGAAAATATTACCTAAGCCACACCAGAGACTTGGTGCTCTCTAGGGCACTGGCAAGTGCCTCTGCTCCTGCATCACCTATCTTATTGCCCCAAAGCCTGTGGATACACAGAAAATGTAGTAAATGGAAATGCAGCACCAATAAGATGCACAGGATTTTGCAGGAAGGGTTTTTACCCTAAAAACTGTAGTGAATGATTGAATTTCAGTCCCTCTGCCAGCTGCTTTGCTCCTTCCGCTGTTATATTATTGTTGCCTAGCCTGAAAGAAAGTTGTTAATTTGCTATCAGTCAATTATGTTCAACATCAATTTTAAGATGATTTTAATAATTTTTATAGCCCAACATGGTCCAGACCCCAATTATATTATGGACCTAAGTTATTATTGGTTATTAATAATAATTGTATGCTGCATAGACTTGTGTGTGTAATATTTAGATCGTAGTCACATCTGATGAGTGCTGAAAATCTGTGACTGTATATGGTAATAATAACCTTATAGCAAGGAAATCCTGCTTGGTCTTCAGAAGATGAGAAAAGTGCTGTGTGCAAGCATCCGTTAGCTGGTTATTGAAGAGTCTAGAGAAAAACAAAGTTATTATGAAAGGTAATCCATCAAACATAATGTTTAACTTCACGATAGTATTAATGATTAATCATCTTGACAATACTTACGCAATTTTTTTGAAGTTGTCACACTGGATACCTTTAGCAATCAGTTTGCGGATCCCCTCATCTGTAATGTTGTTATTCCTGAGGCTGATAAAAGAAAAATACACTTTAGCATAACATGTATTTTTCTTCTAATAAATGATATGTGGTAGCTTAGGTCACTATGATGAATAGATGGGAGGAAGAATGTAATCTTTTCATACTCACTACAGTGAATTACAAATATGCATGCAAGGAAGAAGCTGCTCCACCCCAACATCGCCTACAGAATTGTTGTCCAGCTGGAGGCCTACAGGATTCTTTAAATGCTGGAGCACATAGGCTAGTGCAGTGCACTCTACAGGACCAATATTACAGTAGGTCAGTTTCAAGTGGTCCACCTCCAGCTTGCTCATGGCATCCTTAGCAATCCTGCTCTCCTGCATCTCGTAAATGCATTTGATAAGCCAGACAAAGCCTGGCATTGCATGCATGCTCTTCTTCTCCCCCTCTACAGGTTGAGGGATAGACTTGAAGTGTTTCTGCATGCCTTTGGACAGGCATCTCAACACCTGTTTGGCCCTCTTCTCAATCACAGCGCTGGGGCAGCAGTGGATCCACAGGCTTTGATGCCGCTGGGATAGTAGTCCTGACACAAAGGTGGCTGTGATTTGCAGATTTAGTGTTTCAACTGCTGTAGATTCACCCTCTAAAACCTGCTCTTGTTGGTAAGTGGACGGCAAGCAGCCACTGAAGCATGTGCTTCTCAGATCTGTCTCCCTCATACCCTTTTGCTCAAAGAGCTTAGGAATAGTCGAACGGTGAGTGTCATTTGACAACACAATGTACAGACCAGAAAAGAAACACTGCATAGTCACATGAAGGAATTCATAGCGTTGACTGTGGGTGGAGGACATATCTTTGCTTTGTATGAGAAAGCCCATGCATATATCCTTTTCAGTTACACCACAAGTCTCCAGGTCGGAACCTGTGAAGATGTAACAGCTGGTTCCTATCCCCTCAAAGGCAAGCTGCCCTAGATGCAAAACTGTTTCTAAGTTCTCCTGAAGCCAACCTATCCCCAGGGTGCTCTGAGAGCTTTGGTGCTGGAAAAAGTGTTGTAAGATCATCAGGTACACGTCTGTGATTGTTTGTGGGCTGCCCTCTCCGCAGCCTAGCAGCTCTTTATAGCACTGTGAGACAATCCAGCAGAGGACTGGACTATGACACAGGCCAAGTAAAGCAGTGTTTGTCTGTAGGGACTCCAAAACCTTAGCAGCCACAGTGGGGTCCCTGTGATGCATCCTCACAAAATAGTCAATTCCACTTGGGGAAAAGCCTTTCAGGAAGACCTCTTTGCGAAGGTGTTTTTTCAACACAGGGCCCACTGCCTCTGGGCGACTAGTTACCACCTTCAGCACTCCCTTCATTAGGGAGCCCTGGATTAAGTTGAACAATAGTATGTGAACAGGGGCACGCTGGGTGGGGCAGCAGAGCCTGTGTTCATCTGAAAAACTCTGCTTGAGCTCATCCAGGCCATCAAAAGTGAAGAGAATGAGATGTGGGTGGTCAAGGATGAATTGGAAAATCTCTTCCTGCTCCCTGTCTGGCCAGCAGCAGTGCTGAAACAGCAATTCTTGGACAGACAGTTCCCTGTGCTCAGAGTTCAACCTGCGACAGCTGAATGGAAATATAAGGAGAAAGTCCTGTAGGGCTGCCCCCCGAGCCCAAAGCAAGTGCAGTCTCTGGAGTAAGGTGCTCTTCCCACTGCCTGCATCTCCAGACACTAACACCGTATCGGCCTCCTTATTCACTGTACCCACTGTACCAACTATGTCCTCCACGCCCAAAGGCCCATGGACATCAACGCACTCATGAGATAGTTCCAGCTGGCCTTCAGTGTAGATGTCATCCAGAGACATGTGGCTGGTCCCTCCATAAGTACTGAGAAAGCAGGACTGGGCAGACACAGAACTGCTGAGCTTCTTCTGATACTTGAATAACTCTGTGACAGAAAACATACATATGAGATAAACCAATAGATACAAAGGACTGCAAAATCATACATACTGTACATATGATACTAATATCATACTATACGATATACTTTATTGTTCCCATAGGGAAAATTGTCTTGGACCCAAATGCTGCACACATATAGCTGCCTCCATAGTTAAACAAATCCATAATAATACAATAAACAAAGGAGTATACTGTGTACATTACTCATTTGAAATGTGGCGTGCTGACAACTTGTCTTTTCACATTTTTGAATGAGTACATTTTCAACCAAGTTATGATAATAACATACCTTTGGGAGGAGTCACTGTGTCCTCGTTCAGCTGTGATCCAGATTCCTGTTTTTGCTCAATGAACTGCAACACAACCTTCGCGGCTAGTTCTCCTTTTGATCTGACATGGTCAAGAAAACGCCTTGCCTGATTGACACATGAATGGCAACACTTTAATTGTTAAAGTTCAGCATTTCGGGAAATACGATTATTTGCAGTATCAAATAGTTTTAAGCAAAAAAAAAAAAAAAATTAGGCTGTGGTATATCAGTGAGCAATGTTAACATAAAACCAGCAACAGCTTCAGTTCCTGTATAAAATTCCAAAGTTGCCAATAACAGCAAATGCAAACCAAGAATGAATTTCACTCCAACTAAATAGGTAACAGGAACAATACACACAAAACAAGAACAATAACAGGAAGTTGCCAAACCATAGTTTAATAATGTGCATAAAACATGGCTATGTACAGTACCTGCTGGGATTGCGTGTGTATAGGTAGGCGCACATCATCGCAGTCTGCTGAGGTGAAGTGTCCTGATATGACGAGGGCTTTTAGAGCACCATCAATGCAGCCCTGTAGCTGGCTGACTAGGCTTGGTCTTTGAGTCAGAAGAATCTGAGTAGATGTGCCCTGGTATTTTTTTTTCTCTTCTAGATTTGAACAGCATCCTGAAAACGAGAGGCCAACTCTCTGTGCCTCAGGCAGGACTTGATTGAGAGCAGCAAGGAAGAGCCCAGAAGTATCCACACCCTTTGTATAAACCAGGTCGAGCAACTGTCTGGCTTTGGTATACAGTGCCCTACCCAGTACCTGTATGTCCTGGTACTCCTCCCATATGAGATCCCCATGGGCCAGCAGTATGTCCAGAATCCGTTCCAGATGTTCAGCTGACCCACTGCTGCATAGTGCATGCAGTATCTCTGTCCGTTGTTTCAGCACAAGCTCCTGGACAGACATGCTTTCTGCATGTCAGCGTCCATCCTCAGGAACATCCAACGTGTACCTGCACTGCTTCCGATATCACAATCTGCCACAGCAAACACCCACATGACATCAGGCCACTACAAGCCACCAGGGGTTTCATTCTTATTCAGTAAAATTTCATCAGATACCGTAGGATCAGTGTTTTTACTAACCCCATAGCTTTTTTGTTTAATACACATACACAGTGACCACCCTCATAACACATGTACAAACACACAAGATTGACTTAAGGACTTCAAATGCAACACACAGTAATGTCATTGTAAGATTATCACTCACGTTAGAGTCTCCTCAACAGTGAGCTTTTTTCCCTCCAAATGTCATTTGGGGAGAGAAGCTGCACCACTTTAGACTTGCCTCTTCCTCATTCCACCACTGAAAGCGAAACATATCATGCTCTAAGTCCCTCCTGCCTATGCCAGCAAATGGAATGAAACGTCAACAAAAATTTAACACCAAGCAGACTGACCTGTTACACACTGCAATACAGTACCAGAAGTTTTCAGGGTGAGGGTACTGGATTTAGGAATACCATAAAGAGGAATTATAGCATTGATAGGAATAGTTCATTTAACATATTTTCAGTAAAAACCACCAGAAATATATTAAAGGGGAAGTTGTAGTTGGTAGTTCCTCTGTGGTTGCAATTTAGTCATGCAACCACTGGATGGAACTATTGCATTAATAAACCACCTTTGTTTCCTTTGTTTTCTCACATTTCTTTATTCCTTTTTATATCTCAGAGGCTGACTTCTTCCTATCATCCTACCCGCACCCCCAATCCTATCCTTGTGCACAATGTACCCTTTATTTTCAGTGACATTCTTTGATGATTACAGGCTGTTATGAGTGGCTCTTGAAGGGTTTGTTGGAAATTAACATATAACTAAAGTGATAATCTTAGTATGGTAATAATTATACAGTGTTACAACAGTAATAATATTGTAGCCACTGGGAACCTGCAGCCAAGCCAGCATGCTGTGTACCTGATGTAAACTTCAAAAAGTGCATATAAAACACAACCCTGGAAACAGCTCATATTGTGATTGATTGCCTCTTTCTCCCCTTACATTCTTTGATGTCAAGATTTGAAAAAGGTGCAAAAATTTTTGGACAGTCAGGTGACTAATCATTATTGTTATTATAGCTCCCTCCTGAGCACCATGATTAGTTTACTCTGTTTCTTCACTGTGCCCTGTGGGAGAAAATCCTCAAACACACAAAACCAGGAGTAATCAAAGGCAGACTGGAATAAAACTTTCTAAAGTGAGTTTCTTTTTTTTTCATTCTTCGTCTAAGAAACAGGCAACTCCACCAAGGGGAGTTTAATGCAGAGTACTCTCTGTCAGGCATCCTACATGAAGCTCTAACGTGGAGTTCTGTCATCCAAATCACAGTAGGAGGTCCAGATAAGTTTGGATGGATAAGAAAGGTAAGGCATTGTCAATAGAAAAAAATACAGATATAATCCCAAAAGACATCTCTGAGTATTTCTGTCCTCTGCAGCAGAATTCTTAACACCTTGAGTCAAAGCAAGAAAAATATGTGGCTCCAACTTCAACCATTTGGACTGTATAACCTTCCTCATTATTAATGAAGAGGTCTTTGGACCAGTTGAGCCAGGACTAGCCAAAAAACACAAGCTTTTTGATTGCAGCCAAAGGCTGTAACTCATTAACTTTGGATTACTTACAAATAAGTATTGAATAAAGTCAGAATTATTTTCTCCTGATCACGAATGTTTGGATAGTCTGTCATCTTGCTGTAAACCTAATATCTCCAAATAGTAAGCTGTCTAGGAATTTAGAAAATTACTTTGGATGAGATAGGATGAGACGGGTTAGACTACATCACATATCCAGGTACCACTGTTTTTGGAGCCAAACAAGGTTTTTGCATCGTAGGGGTCAGAGGCTGTAGGGTCAGAGGCTGTAGTGCCTGATCATTCTGTGCTCAGCTTTGATTGGATATTTACTTGTTAATAGGCATCAGGTTTCTGCAGATTTCATCCTCTGGGATTTTGGATCAAGAGAAAGAATTATTTTGTGCCTTTATGTTCCTCCAAATCACTTTACAAAAGATTATGATAAGAGATTATTAATTTTTCCACACACAGATAGGCTGACTTAAACCTGGCTCGGGTGATCTACTCCTCAGCTTGCAGTTTACTGGGCATGAAAGTTAAGTCTTGCTCCATATGGAGTCAGCTCTGTGTATTCCAGTAAAACTGGAGCCCAGCACTAAATAACCTTGTCCACACAAGTCAAATTTTAAACTGTATGTCAATGAATAACAGCGTGGTTCAGCGCTGGATCCACCCGTCTCTCATAGCAGAGATGGAATACTTTGCATTCTTTCTGTGCAGATATCAAAAGCACATGTGGTGAGCTCAGCGTCAGGCCAGGTGCACTGGTGTACTGTGTGTGTGCTGATTGGTTTTCCAGAGACACAGAACTCCCAGAAGCAAATCAGCACATCTCATCCTCTATGAATTCTGAAGTAAATCTACTGTACAGGCAAGTTGTTACACATAACCAATTATCCTCATGTTCAGGCAGATTATTATTTATTTAATGATAGTGTGAACTTCATAATAATGCACAAGTCTACCATTAATAACATCAATATAACATACAAAATAACACGACCAAAGATTCAATCAATCAGTCAACACAAATCTAAATAAAAACTTTGTAAGGGGAAATTACACATGACATGTAGCTATTAAGTGACCAATCGATCTTAAAGAATCATTCCACATTTTCACAATACTTCTAATCTTTATACACACATGCCCACATAGTTTTTGGTTGTTGTCCAAACTAGCAGTGAATAGAAACATTTTCATTGCAGTGTAGGAGATTGGGGACAAAATCTACAGTCTTCATTCTGTGCAAAAAAGGGAGGGAGGGATAGTAAAATAAAAGAAATAATAAAATAAAAAGGGAATTTGATACTGGAAAGATTAACTTTGGAAGATGATTTAATTTGTCTAACTGATGTCTAATAATAACTTCAGATACATTTGGAATGTGAACAAGGACAATGGATTTTGTCTCCTATCTCTTACATTGGAGAAGGAACAATTATAGCAATCAATACCTGTTTCAAAATGTATGTGGGTGTGTAAGTTTTGTATTCAGACTTAAAGGTCCAGTTTGTAGGATTTAGTGGCATCTAGGGATGAAGTTACAGCTTTCGTGCAGTGTGTAGGAGAAACTACAGTGGCCATGAAAGTCACAAAAAGTGTGAAAGGCCTTATCTCAAGCCAGGTTTGTCCGTTCTGGGTTACTGTAGAAACATGGTTCAACATGGCATCCTCCTTGTAAGAGAACCCACTCCATCTGTAGATTAAAATGTTTCATTCTAAGGTAACAAAACCAGAGACCAGACACAGTTAAGATTCTGGGAAATCATAATACATTTAGATATAAGAGATGTATGTCAGTGAGTTAAAATGGGGATTGATACAGTGCTTACCTATACGTTACTACAAAGGCATGTTTCTATGGTTCTATAATACATAGTAATGTACAATGGGTAGCTTCAACTTAAAGATAATATTTTAATTTATTAACATTTATGGATGGCTTACACTCAGCAAACAGCAAAGGATCCCCAGATCCCCACAAATGATGCAACAAAGATCCTCTGTCAAGTCCATTCAGTTATATTGGCCTTTCCACAAGCATTGAGAGCTTTGCTATTACTACCAGTGCATTATAAAACTGTAAAGAACAACGACAACCACTTTGTCAATGGTAAAAAAGCTTTCAACTATACATACACAACCTAATATCTCATTCCTCTAAGACAGAGGGGTGACAGATAAAGGTGGATTACCTCATTTGACTAATGGAGACATTAAGAGGATCACGATATACAGCAATACCATAGCAATGCAGACGTTCAGGCATCCAATTGACTCATACATTGGAAGGATTAGTGTATAATTAGAAGAGGCCTTCCCAAGCCGGAGAGAGAGGTATTGAACAGAGGAAGTAGATGCATCTCTTTCAGAGGAGCATGTGTGCATAACCATGTGTGCATGGGTGTGTGTGTGTCAATCAGGATTTAATTGACAGGAAGATTAAAGCTCACATCTGAGGACCCCCCCTTTTTTCAGGAGAAGGAAAGTTGAAGGAGTCTGGTCTCTCCAGCGTCTGCCCAAAGTTTGGGGTGCTGCGCTCAAGGTTAGCGTGGACACCCCGCTGAGTGTGCGCTGTCTGAAATGGGTCCTACTTGTTGGACATTCATTATCAAACTCTGTTTGCTCCTTTCATCTGCAGCTCTCTGCAGCACTCAACGTAAACTACAGAGGCACCTTGCAGCTTGACATCTCTCCATTCACTCTGTACCTTAAACAGCATGCTGCCACATCAAAGAGCTGCGGCTGCCTTTGATGTTGCAAAAAGAAAGAGCTCCAATGATCTACTAAAAACCAATGCAACTTTCTGGAGCCTTATTTTATTCATTTGCTATCTCTAGAAGTCTGGAGTCAGTCTCTAGAAGTCCAGACAGCACATTTGTAATTTGGAAAAGTTGAACTGTGCTCTTTGAAAAATGAAGTGAATGAACAACTGGTGAAAAGAGAGTCTACTACCTTTTACTGTGGTGGGGTTTGTTATCAGCATGAAATTTCCTATGGTAAGTGTCACATTGTATACAGTTGAAAGGGACTGTCACTAAGTTTCAGCGTGAAAAAATGCCTAGGCAAAAGCAAACATCCATTACTGTTGACTGTGTTTGTAAGAAAGTGGGTCAGACTGTCCCTTTATACAGCATATTAATGCATTAATGGATGAAAATGAAATCATGACTGTGACAGGTTTCATTGGGCACATTTTCTTTTTCTAGCAAATTACCACTTCTTTAGGTAGTGAACGTGCCATGAATCACTGGATATTCATGTCTTTCTACTAAGAATTTAGCTGCTTCTTAAAGGCCCAGGGTGTAACATTTAGGTGGATCTATTGGCAGGTATGTTTGCATTTCTGTACAATCACTTGAAAATAATAATTGTTGTGTTTTTCCATACTTCAGAATGAACCGTTTTATCTACAGACGGAGTTGGTCCTCTTCTATCGAGTTTGCCATGTTGTACCAATATGTTTCTACAGTAGAACAATAGCTCTAGATAGGACCTTTCCTGCATGCTATTGGTGCAAACGGCATCTTCTTACTCAGCCTCTACAAAAGGTAGAACATCCCCAGACATATCCTATAATAAAAATGAGGGAGTGCAACCAAGTTGTTTAAAACTGTGGGAGATACATGAGGAAGAAATCATATTTTCTTTGGCTTCAGAATATAGACCACACTCACTCTGACATATGCACAAGCATACAAACACATAAACTTGTCCAATCTATCTAAAAGTAAAATTAGTAAAAGTAATGCTTTTTTC